AAGATATTTTAGTTTAAATTTTTAAAAAAAGTCACTAAAAACTTTTTACTCCTTTTCTACTGACGAGCTCCCATATATACTTTTTATTTGTTGAATATCGATATCACGGATAATTAATGCGAAATGCGGATAATTAATAAAATTAATTATCTATATCGCGGATAATTAATAAAATAAAAGACCAAAGCTATTTGTCATAATATGAATGCTAAATACTATAAAAATAGAATTTGAATCAATTGCTAAGCATGCTATATAAATATATGACAAAGGGTTTTGTTAATAATAAAATAAAAAATAGATAAATAGTCTCAATAAAGCGTTTTTAAAAATTAAAAACCTTAGAATTATTGAAATGAAATTGCGTAATGTTCTAATTTATTACATACTAAACGGTAAATTTGAACTCATCGATTTTTTATATATAATAAACCATTGTTTTTATCACTCATCTTAAAATTTTAAATCTTAGCCTAAAAATAATTATTATCCACTTACCGCAATTCGTTTAGAGGTCAGAACCGGTTAATAGAATTCGAGTATAAATTCGGGTTAACCCTGTTTTACAGTTGTTATCATTATTTCTGGGACACCTGATAATTTTTGCTCGCTACCGAATCATTATCAGTTTCATCCGGTAAATTGCCTAATATCTCGGAAACTATATCACTATCTTCGGATTCTCAGTCTGAAGACAACGACATGGTTTCCGAGAGATTAGGTAATTTACTGGATGAAACTGAAAATAATTCGGTAGCGAGCAAAAATTATTAAGTGTTCCAGAAATAATGATAACAGCGGTAATAGTAAATCGGTTTTATAATATCTTAATTCGGTTGCAAAACTTTGACAAACCGGTTTTTAAATTTAAATCCGGGTTTATTTTATCCAAGTTCTGGCATGTATTGTATTTATTAGAAGCGAGTTTTTGTATGTTCAAAAGCAATATTTAACTTTTTTTTAAAATTTCACGTGACAAGGTAAATGATTTTGTCCAATCAGAGTTCTTGTCGATCAACCGATTACATATTACGTCACACAACCCGATTATAATTCGGTTTAAATTACACCCGGATAAACACCGATTTTATATTATATGCAAATCCAATTCGGTTTCATAATTTACAACCGGTTCTGACTCCTAGTTTAGATGAGATATTTTTATAAAAAAATATTTATTAAATTATCTTTTAGATTTTCTGGAGGATGAAATATATGGATTCAACAATCTAATTGCAGGCAAATATAGGATAGGCATAGCACGCGGCTCATCTGATGACATTCGCTTATATAGCATATAGTAGAGATAATTTTAGAATATGGTTGAAATGTTCGCAACTTGAGTGGTTGATTAAACTGGAAGCAGATACTTTATTGATGTCAAATAATAAGAAACCTCAATGACGTTAGACAGAAAAATATTTATTGATACAATATACATATAGTTATTTGTACAAAAATTTTATAAAATTTACTATTTCTTAAAAAAATAAATCTAAAAGCGGCTATCTTCAAGTGATAGATAATCAAGTTGTGGATCATATAACCATTGAGTCATCAATTCCTGGGGCATATCTTCAAGTGATAGATAATTAAGTTGTTGCCATTGAGTCATCAATTCCTGGGGCATATCTTCAAGTGATAGATAATCAAGTTGTGGCCATTGAGTCATCAATTCCTGGGGCATATCTTCAAGTGAACCTAATTCGGGTTCAAGTGAACCTAATTCGGGTTCAAGTGAACCTAACTCGGGTTCAAGTGAACCTAATTCGGGTTCATGTGAACCTGATTCTGGTTCAAGTGAACCTAATTCGGATTCATGTAAACTCAATTTGGTTAACCCTTCAACAATATGTCTACAAGATGTAGTCGCATCATGAGGCATCGAGCCAATCGACACGTTTCGATATCCAACAGAAGCCTGACGAGGACTGACTTGAATAATTTGAAGTTCTTTAGAACCTTGTAGCACTGATTCAATTAATTCTTCTGTTTTTGGTGGGGATACTTCAGCTCGAATTATTTCTGAAATTTTGTCGCAGTCTTTTTTTGGAATTTTATGCTTGAAAGATTTTCTAACAGTAAGAATACTTTGTCTTTTTTTAGCTGCATATTTAAGAATTTATGATTTTAGTAAAATATTCTAGATACTAATTTTTAAAGTGAAAGTTTAAGATTGTATTAAAAAGAAGTTCAAGGTTTTTATATTACCTTTTTTAGAGTTTCGAATTGATCGTCGAAGTGATGGTGGAAGTGTTGAGCGACCCATTATTTTGATAAAAATTCAAAGTTAAAAAGTTTTGAATTTATTTAAAATTAATTGCATTATTAATTTTCATTTCTTTGTTATTTTATATGAAAAATTCAATGAAAATTTCATATCGAAAAAAGAGAATCAATATACGCCTTTTTTTTCGTTTCAAGCTTCATTTTTTTTATAAGGCGTAATTTTGTTTCTTTTTTTATTTTGATTTATCTGCCCCTTAAATTTTTTATTCATTTTCGTCTTTAAAGTTTACTTATTATTAATAACATATAATAATCTACGGTAAACTAAAATATTATGTCTTATACAGTGTTGCTACGCGAGGATCTACCAAGCACCATACAAAATTAGCTTTGTTACGAATATGTTTTTATCTGATCAAAATTGGTTGTATGGCTTTTTACTAACTTTTGTAACTAAAAAATAGTTTGTTCCCACAGACAAGTATTCAATAAATGCACATAGCATACAAGGAAGAAGAAGAAAAAACAGATCGTTGATCTGATAAAGTTAGCGTTACTCAAAAACTGACCCGATTATTGTGACATTATTTTGAGTCACTGGACTGTTTATCGTATTTGATGATCTATGGGTCCTTTGTTCTTGAATTTTTCTGCTCGAAATTGTCCCTCTCACCACACCCCAAAGGGAAAAAGATAAAGAAAAGAGAAATAATAACTACTCGAAAAAGTCTGATCACGTGACTACAGATGGATTGTTCGGCGACTCCATCCCATACTGTATTACGTGCAAAGTATAGATGTTTATTGTTGGATTTGGATGCGGACGTAACGAGATCATGGAGAACAGCTCCTAAGACGAACAATAATAATTACGGAGTCATATAGTGCTTTGCAATATAATAGTTTATACGCTTTGACTATCATTAATTAAGTAATCGGATATATTGTTACTATTGACGAGAGAGCAAAGTAAATATAGGGTCCAATTTAGCTTCAATAGTAAACGGGATATAGTATCTAAGATCTATATAGGGACTTAATAACCAAAGGAGAATCAAGCACGTTGGCTTATATTATGGATTTATGCACACGAGATCAGGTAATTATCAATTTAAGGAATCCAATCACTATTTATTAATAATGACGGATTTAATTAAGATTTAATAAATAATAAATCTAAGGAATTAAATTAACAGGTATCACGAAGATAACAATAACAAATTTTAAAGGTAACGTGATTACAATTAACAATGCAAAACTAACAACAATTGAGAACTCGATTCTTTTATCACTTAAAGACACCGAAGTCTGAACTTTATTCAAGTGCGAAAAGGCATTCTTTTTATATTTTCATGATACCAAAAAAATACAACGAATTTTCTTATCTACAAAAACTATTCTATACAGTTCTGTTCAGAAGCCATTTGCACTGCCAGCGCCTATCTTACAGTTCTGTTCAAATCAAAAAAATAAAATATATATCTAAAATAATAAAAAGAAAATAAAATAAAAAAAAAATGAAAAATAAATATAGGACAGTTCTGTCCTTCTTAACCAAATAAATAAACAAAATAAAAGAGAAAAGAAAACTAATAAAATAATCGCAGAACAGTTCTGGTTCAACACCACCTACTCAGCCCAATTACTTCAGGCAGAACTGTTCATTAAACCATACCACGACACCTCATAGCCACTCAATTGTCGATCCTTTTGCATCACAGTATTCTAAACTATAACATACTCCCTTCCTTAAGGGTGAGCTTCTGCGAACCCTTAATTATCTTCTAATCTTTCAATTTCAAATTCTCAATACTTCCGGGCCTCTTCTATTAAGAAATTAAATTCAACCCTGGTCATGGAAAGTAATGTATTGACCAATATATGGAGGGAGGTCAGTAGATTATAGAGGCCTCGAGTCTGGTATAAAGAGAAGACTTAGCGAGCAGCTTTTCAAGCATGCCCAAACTTACTCTCAATAAATCGTTCTTGCATTTCATAACAGGCATAAGTATTCCAATTATAATAATCCAACTATTCATCTAATAAATAATAATGTTGGAGCAATGAAATTCATTCTAGGTGACACAGTTGAACTCGAATACAAAGGAAATTTATTTGTTCGCTCCAATATCTCCTTCCGCCTTCTCAAAGTTAGTAGTTGGAGGATCTATCCTTTTGAGGTCTTCAATAAAATAGGACATTCGAGTTTGTTTAGATGCGATCCTTACAAGACCAGAAGCATAACTAAGTTCAAAGGAGCCTCCTTGTCAGTCTAAAAATTCTACTGTGGAATTGGTAATATGGACAACAGCTACATTAGATCACCTGAGCTGTTGTTGGATGCGACTAACATTCCTTATGAGCTGAATAGTTACTTCAAAAGATTCCATAAAAAAAAAAAATAAAATAAATAAAAAAATAATAATAATAATAATAAATCTATCTTATTTATAAAAAGGAAGGAGAGGGGAATCCAACATATTTATAAGTTGAGGACTAATCTTGAACATGAGGCGCGATATATAACTTCAACTGGTTTCTATGTATGAGCTTTTTCAAAACCTTTTCAACCTCACTAGGCTTATTGTGTAAGCTTTTAATTATAGTCCTTAGTTTA